TTTCTTAGAATGCAGGGTTGAAGATGAACTTTTTGAAACTTCGGTCTCACACAAAAACTCAATTCCTTCACATTTAAGGTCATGACATTTCTCCACAACATTAACTTCTTCATGCTTGTCAAATGAATTGGGGGTCGGATTGAAGATATTCAACTTCACCTTCATGTGGCCAAATGAGATCTTCATTATCCCCGTCCTACAATTAATGTTGGCATTCGCGGTTGCCAAGAAAGGATGGTCAAGGATAACGGGAATTTGGCTCTTAGGATTCGGGACCGGTTCCGTGTCAATGACAACGAAATGAATGGGGAAGAATAATTTATCAATCTTAATCAATACGTCCTCAATGATACCCCTAGGCTTTTTAATGAATCCATCGGCAAGTTGCAAAACCACCGACGTCGGTTTCAAGTCTCCTAAGCCTAATTTAACATATACCGAGTATGGAAGAAGATTAACACTTCCTCCTAAGTCAAAAAGAGACCGATTAATGATATGATCTCCAATGATGCATGAAGTGGTAGGTGAACCGGGGTCCTTAAACTTCGAAAGAGTGTTATGCTGCAAAATTGAGCTTACTTGCTCGGTTAAGACCACTTTCCTAGGTGCTTGGTTTTTATTCTTCCTCTTTTGGGTACATAAGTCTTTCAGAAATTTGGCGTAAGCCAAAATTTGCTTGATTGCATCCAAAAGTGGAAGATTGATTTTCACTTGCCTAAACACATCCATAATTTCATTTGTTTTGGCCTTTCGTTTGTCAATTGAAATAGATCATTTTAAGGCATCCGGGAATGGAGCTCTTGGCTCAAAAACTTTTTCAGACATTTTCTTTGAAGTCTCTTCAACACAAGATGTTTTGAAATCATGTTGCAAATTTTTCTTTTTAAAATCACTTTCCAAATCACTTTTCAAGATATTCTCATTTGAAAGATCATGTATATGCAATGAAGGAGGAATAGGATGTGAAACGGGACGGGTGTCAACTTGTGGTTGCACCAGTTCACTCTCTTCATTGGACATACCCACTTGGTTGTCTACAATCTTCCCACTTCTCAAGGTAGTCACCGCATTGACATGCTCTATTGTGTGACCTTCCGATGAGGAATGAGTCTCCACAACACATTCTTGCTTTTGTGGGGCATTCAAAGGCATTTTCCCTTTCTCTCTAGCATTTAAAGTACTAGCTATTTGCCCTACTTGGGTTTCAAGCTTAGCAATGGATTGAGAATGAGAAAGAAGTAATTGAGTGTTCGCCTCTAGAGTGCCTAGAGCGGTCAAAACTTTCTCTTCAAAAGCCAGACTCCTACCATTTCCTTGAGAATATGATGGTTGATTAGGAAATTGAGAATTAGCAAATTGATATCCTTATGATTGAAATGATGATCTAAAACCTTGGGAACCTTGACTTTGAATTGGAGGTGGAACATATTTCCCTTGGAAACCACCTTGGGGAGGATTTAAGCCTTCCCCTTGGTTTCTCTAAGAGAAATTCGGGTTCCTCCAACTAGGATTATAATGATTGCCATAAGGATTATTCCCTTGATTAATAAAAGCTGCATTCGCTTGTTCATAATGCTCATTTTGCACATGTCCATGGGGACAATTAGAAGTAAAATGTAAAACAGTTGAACAAGTCATACATGTCTCATTGGATGCATAATGGGAATGGTAGATACTTGATTTGCCGAGTTTTGGTTGATCAAAAATTGATCAAACCTTTGAGATAAGGATTTCATCTCAACGGCTATTTCATTAGAATGGTCAACTTGATGTAAGCCAACTTAATGCAAGGAATTTTCATACATGCTCTCATAAAGATGCCACACGTCATCCTCATGCCTATCAATATAAGAGCCACCCATGGAAGCATCAACCATGCCCTTATAATTGTCCGATAAGCTCTCAAAGAAATATTGAACTAATTACCAATTGGGCATGTCATGATGTGGACACTTCCTAAGCAATTCATTGAATCTTTCCCATGCCTCATAGAATGTTTCCCCATCCCCGTGTGAAAACTCTTGAATTAAGGTTCTCATGGCATTGGTCTTAGAAAGCGGATATACTTTTTTAAGAACTCTTGTTGCATTTCTACCAAAAAAGTTATTACAAAAGGCCTAAGATTGTTAAACCAATATTCTGCCTTGTCTTTAAGGGTGAATGGAAAAAGTTTAAGCCTTAAGACCTCTTCCGGCATGTCCGTGTATCTCACGGTGGAACATACTTCAAGAAACTCATCCAAATGTTTGTAAGGTTCTTCACTTGGAAGTCCATGATATTTAGGAAGCATTTAAATGGTTTGTGGTTTGATCTCATAGTGGTGTGCTCTAAATGGTGGCAATTGAATGTATGTGGGTGCATTATATTCATTAGGCACATAGTGATCTCTTAAAGTAAGGGGAGGATTAGCAATTGGAGGTGCAACATGAGCACCTTGATTACCTTGAGTGATGGGAGGTGGTGGAGCATAGATTGGCCTTGGCATTCCCAATGGAACTTGGCCTTGTTGTTGTGGAGGGTGAACTAATGGCCTCGGCATGCCTAATGGTACTTGCATGTTATCATGATGCACATTGGGGTGGAGGATACTTTATTGGTCTATGTGACCAAGGTCCTCCACATGGTCCTCATTATGTCCTTCCATTGATGAAATGGATTAACTAGAACTTCCTCTTCCCCTAGGGTTTCAAAAAACGGATTCAAGATGAAAATTTAGAGGGACAAAAGTAGGTTTCAATGACCTACGACCATGCATACACAACAATATACAACAAGTAACAAGTAATGAACAAACACTTCACCTTTGCAACAAATCAATAATCAACAAACTTCTTCCATATTCAATGATCCTATACTCCCATGCTATCAACAATATGCAAAGAAAAGTAAATTGCCTCCACGTGGGCTCACGATTTATCTAAGAATTGAAATACAAGCCTCCACGCGGGCCGACGATTTAACTAGAAATTGAGTTAAGAAAGAGCTCACAAAGGGTCCTTTAGCACTTCAATTTATTTTTCAGTTTTTAGCCTGGCAAATTTTTTGAATTTTGTCATTTTCCTTTGCTTTGCTTAGCTCCTTGCTTGAAATGCTCCTTTGCTCACCTTCTTTTCAATGCACCTAGTCAAACAAGAACCAACACAATAAGTAACCAAAATGAAAACAAAGTAAAGACATGATCAAAAGAGTACTAATTCCTAATTGATTCCATAAATACGATGTTACCTTCAATCAATCCCCGGCAACGGCGCCAAAAACTTGGTGTTACTTCGGGTGTTGCACCCCAAAATCCAAAGTTTGTGCACCGAAAGATAATGGTGTAGAGCTATGATGAATGTGGCCAAGTTTTACATTTAGAAATTTCTACTACTACCTTTCACTAAAAATATAGTTAGGGCAAGTAGGGATCGTCCCAAGGGATTGGTGGGTCGTATTAGGTTATGGAATCGAGATTAAGGTTAGTAGGTCGAGTGATCAAAAGATTAGTTGATGGTTGAATTATACTAAGATGCAATTTAAACTAAAGTAGGCAATTAAATGTAATGGAGAGAAAATAAGAAAGAGATCTTGGGGTTTAGAGATTACCACTAAGTATAGCTTTTCTACACCCTTAATGAATGATTAATGAGGGGAAAAACATGTATTGCAACATAGTGTGTGTGTGTGTGGTTGTTTCAACAAGCATGGATGATAAATTAAGCATATATTGTCTAAGCAATATGGTGGATAGCACAATATATCAAATTAAGCCATTAATCATTTCTTTAAGCTCACAATCCAAACACATCACAAGGTTAGAGATATATGCTACTCGCTTGCATAAGTATGGAGCATCAAACTAAAAGCATGAATTGTCCTCCCATTTAACACCTAAACTACAACTACACTACAATTAAGCTAATGACATGAAATTAAACTAATTAAACTAAGGGAGATGCACAATCCATCAAGAAATGAGTATGAACCATCAAACAAACCACAAAAACATTCCATTAAGCACTAAGTCTTGACAATCTCTAGATCTATAGTATTAATACACATAGATATGCATCAATAACACAAGAAATAGAGATAAACACATGAACATCTATTCTAGCTTACATAGACATATGGATAGAATGAAATGATCAATTGGAAGCATTAAACTACATAAATCATTGAATAAACAAGATCTATATATATAAAAGTGTCAAAACATGTATCACAATACAAATTCCCTCAAAAATACATAAATCAAGATGTAGAAAGCATGCTTAGGGCTAACTCTAGCCCCAAGAGGATGTCTAGCCACTCATGGATTCTGTCCTCCAACCCTCAAGGGCTAACTCCATGGTAGAGATTGCTCTTCTTCTTGGTTGATGGAAGAACTCCAAGCTTATGTCTCTAGCTTCCTCATTTCTTTTCTCGGGATTTGGGAAGTTTGATCGATCGAACTTGTGGTGAGATCGATCGAACATGGCTGAGATCTATCGAATTTAAGCTGAATCGATCCTCTATGGCGGCGCCTTTTTGGATAAAAACAAATCTGAGAGATTTTGAAGATATTTTTGGGAAAAAGACAAATGTGGTAGGTAGGGTGGTACAGGTGGATAAGATGAAATCTTTTCGATCGATCGGAAAAAAGTTGGATCGATCGAACTTTGTGGCATCTTTGGATAAGGACAAGCGAGCTTAGATCCATCTTGAGAATGATCGAACTTGCTGAATTTCCACCACTTGCTTCCTTTTGCTCCCACTTTGCTCCTTTCTTTGATTCATCTCAAGATTACTTCAATTATGTTCTTATTTAGCTGAGTTAGCTTATTTTGGGGATATGTACCTAAAAATGGAAATAATACAAAATCAATTTAAAGCGGGAAAATAAGATAGATAAAGGTTCTAAAATACCTAAGCTTAAGGGGTTTAAATGCGTAATTTTCAGTGCTTATCAAGCCACGAGTGCAGTATTGATTAGAGAAGAAGGTAAGAGTCAGTATCCAATCTTCTACACTAGCAAGACAATGATAGATGTAGAAACATGGTACAGCAAAGCCGAGAAGATCATACTAGCATTGGTATATGCAAAAAGGAAACTTCGACACAACTTTGAGTCACACAGCATCAAAGTTCTTACCAACTACCCCATGCGAGTCATTCTTTTTAAACCGGATTTATCCAGAAGAATAACTAAATGGGCAATCGAGCTTAGTTCTATTGACATATCCTACGAACCGAAGGTGTCGCACAAAGGGCAAACACTAGTTGATTTCCTCTTGGAGTATGAAGATAAGCCAGAGGAGCCAGGCCCTTCCAAGCCACAATGGGAGCTTCGGGTGGATGGTTCCTCGAGCTTGATTAGTGCTGGGGCAGGAGTCATTATCACAACTCCCGAAGGCACCAAGCTACAGCAGTCAATTCGGCTGACTTTTCTTGCTACTAACAATGAGGCGGAATATGAGGACCTGCTCGCAGGACTTCGGTTAGCAAACCAACTTCAGGTAAGGTGTCTAAAAGTTTTTAGTGATTCTCAACTTATTGTGATCAGGTAACAGGCCAGTACCAGCCTAAGGAGGATAGAATGAAAGCCTACAGAGAAGCTATGGAGAGTGCCTCACGAAGGTTCAACCAGATCGAATTCCATCAGATACCTCGCGAGGAGAATTCTGAAGAAGATCAGTTGGCTGCAACAGCATCTTCCTCAGATGAAGATTTGGTCCGGATCGTACCAATTGACATCCTGGACGAACCAAGTAAAATCCCTCGACAGGAGATAATGGTGATCCCAAATGTCCCACACGAACCATGCTGGATGGATCCGTTGGAAGCTTACCTTAAGAAGGGCACTCCCCGAACTAGAAGGCCAAGGCGCAGAAACTTAGGCTCACCGCAGCCAAACATGCTATCATCAATAACCAACTATACCGAAAGTCATTCTCAGGTCCTTACCTGAAATGTTTAAGCCCCACTGAGGCTTTCACGATTCTAAAGTAGATTCATGATGGGGATTGTAGCAATCACTCTAGAGGTAGATCTTTGGCACATAAAATTCCGACTCAAGGTTATTTCTGGCCTTACTTGGCTCGGAATGCTGAAGAGTATGCCAGAAGGTGTGATAAGTGCCAGCAACATGGCCCAATGAAGGATCAACCCGCCGAAGATTTGTACGTAATGGCGAATCCATAGCCATTCACTCAATGGGGGATTGATATGGTCAGTTCTTTGCCCAAGATTGTGGAGAAAAAGGAATACGTGTTGCTAGCCACCGATTACTTCACTAAATGGGTAGAAGCTGAAGCTTACTCGAGCGTGACCCATGAACAAGTGAAGAGTTTTCTATGGAACAACATAATCTGCCGATTTGGGGTGCCAAATGTTATCATGATGGACAATAGCCTAAATTCAGATAACTGAAGCACAAGAAAATTCTTTGCCAAGCATGGGATTAGGCAAAAATTGGCTATAGTTAGCCATCCTCAGGGGAATGGACAAGCAGAAATAACTAATCAGACCATCTTCAGCTGCTAAAAAGTTAGAAAAGCTCAAATCCAAATGGCACGAGAATCTACCTCAGGAACTTTGGGTGTATCGAACCACCCCCCGCAGGCCAATGGGAGAAAGCCCTTTTGCCATGGCCTATGGGTCAGAGCCTGTCATACCCACGAAATCAGTAGTTTCGACTCCTCAGACCCACTTGGTACTCGAAGGTAACAATAACCAATAGCTCGAACACAGCCTCGATCTCTTTGAAGAAAAGAGGGATGTCGCGACAATTAGGCTTACTTCGTACCAGCAACAGTTGCGTAACAGTTACAACAAGCGCGTTAAGTTCAGACGTTTTGTGGAAGGAGATTGGGTGCTAAAACAGCAAATAGCCCATGTAAAAAAGTTGCAACCCAATTGGATCGGACCTTACAGAGTCACAGAAGTAGTAGGGAAAGGAGCTTACCGATTGGTGGAAGCAGATGGGCGTCCAATTACACATCCATGGAATACAATACACTTGAAAAGGTACTATCATTAGATGATATAGTTTGTTTTCTTTCTATTCACAAACAGCGTACGTCTGTTTTTTCATCCAAGTATGGCTGCTTCTAGGCCTATATAATAAAAGTTTCTTGAGTTATGTACATCTTTGCACATCTTTACTCCTTTAGTAGAGTGGGGTCTTACTTCTTTTGTCGTAATAGGGGGCAATACATGCATCCTACTATTAATATTGCAACAAAAGCATGTACCATACACCCTACTGTTGATATTACAACAAAAGAAGGATATCAACGCAGAGCAAATAAAACGAATAATTTAGGCTTTTTGCTGGTAGTTACAAGTCCCTTTTTCGTACAAAAGCACAAAAGTACAAGTATGTACCCTATTATTGATATTGCAAGTCCTTTTTTAATGAACATTTAGGCTCTATCTAAATCATAAGCCCAAAGGTGCCTTACAGTTTTTTCATTTTTAGACACAAACCACAAATATGTGTAGCTCAGAGCACTTATCTACTATGGTCCCACATCGAAAACAAACTGTTTCTATACTACCTTTATATAGGGAAATATTAAAGTATTTGGGTGCATTGCAAAGAGGGCCCGTTGGTAAGAGTAACAGCCCAGCCCAAGTTATGTTCAAAGCCCTAGTACCAACGGGCATTCTTTGCAATAATTTTTGTTCTTTCCAAACAAACCAGTTTTGTGGCTCATATATCCTTTGTCCCATATCGAATAGGAATACAAAAGGTGTATAGTAAATATAGAGTTGGCAAGCTGCATTTGGTTACCACGAAGAGAGTCCGTGTGAAGGAAAGTCTCCTAAAACAAATGTATGGGGGACTTCCCAGTCACAGTTACTCTCTTTCTTAGCCTCAAATTATTTTTGAATCTTCGGCCAACCTGGCATACTTGGTGATTTTTCCAGATCAGGCTCACAACTGAGGAACACTTTGCTTTGGACTCCAAGAATCCGTCTCAATAAAGTTCATCTCGGGCCCACAGCCGAGGAGCATCTCGCTTTGGACCCCAAGAGTCCAGCTCAATAAAGTTCCACTCAGGCTCACAGCCGAGGAATACTTCACTTCGGACCCTAAGAGTCCGTCTTAGTAAAGTTCTTCTCGGGCCTACAACCGAGGAACATCTCGCTTCGAACCCCAAGAGTCTAGCTCAATAAAGTTCCACTCAGGCTCACAGCCGAGGAATACTTCGCTTCGGACCCTAAGAGTCTATTTCAATAAAGTTCCTCTCGGGCCTACAGCCGAGGAACACCTCACTTCGGACCCTAAGAGTCCAGCTCAGAACAGTTCCTCTTGGGCTCACAGCCGAGGAACACTTCGCTTCAGACCCTAAGAGTCCAACTCAGCACAGTTCCTCTCCAGCTCATAGCCAAGGAACATAACTCCTCGGACCCCAAGTGTCCGACACAATATAATTCTTCTCAAGTTGATTGCCAAGGAACATAAAGCTCGGACCTCAGGATTCCGGTGCAGTACAGCTCCTCCCAAGCTCATGACCGAGGAGCGTATTGCTTTAGATGTTAGGAATCCAGCACAATACAACTCTTTTCAGGCTCCTAGCCAAATAGTATATCACCTCGGACAATTCAAGTTTGAGGTTGAGCCAAAAAGTGCCACTTCGAACGATTTAAGTCCGAAGCTGCGCTAGCAAGGTATAAGACCAAGCGGGGGCAAAAGTTCTCTATGGTGACACACCCATAGATCCTTATTTAATTAGCTAATGGTGCATAACCCGTGGAAAATTTCATCCCACATCGAAATAATACAAGGAAAACAAGTATTGATATATCTATTCCTTACGAATCAGTGGCAAGAAAGGTTCTCTTGACGGTTGGAATGTTAGATGAAGAAGCCTTCCTCAGGTATTAGTTAAACAGTCAAGCGATTCCCTTCTTATCATCTGTTTTGCTTTTGTTTCGGACCACAAAAGATCCAAAGCTCTCAGGAAATAAGCCTTCCTCCCTGAGGCTAGGAGCATATTACTACAATATAATTTTATAAAAACCAGAGGCATTCAAAAACATGAAAAAGACTTCAGAGTAAATGTAGTCATTGCATTGCAAAAATTATGGTTTCTACATTTGTTCTTTCAAAACAAGGAAAAGAAAAGACAATTACACAACTCTACTTCCTTTTTGGATCAAAGGGAGTAGAGTCAAAGGCATCCACCATATTTGGACTGGTGGGGAGACGACTCAATTGGTCAGAAGATGGAGGAGCTGGCAAACTTGAAGCTAAAGGAACCTCTGGATGAGATTTCACCATTTCAGCAAAGATCACCTCAGCTTCTTGGGCCTTTGGACCCTAAGAATAAGGGAAGGACACCTCCATGTTAGCATCGAAGGCTTCTGGATCCTTTACTTTGTCGCCAGAGCCCTGGCTGAAGCCGAACCTGAAAGCCTTTGCACTGAAAAAGCGCACGATGGTAGAGTAGCGTCCTTGCATTTGCCTCCCAGCAGTAATGCAGGTACCAATGGCATCGTTCAAGCGCTGGACTTTAGCCTCCAGAGCCTCTACCTTCGCCTTAGAAGCTGCCAGGCGATTCTTAGAAACATCCCTCGCATCAGAAGCAATCTTTGCACTTATAGCCTAGTGTGAAGACTTCTTCTCAGTATTGCCTAAGTTCCTTTCCAATTTCTTAATGGAAAGGGACTGAGCTTCAGCAGTGGCACACAGTGTCATAGTTTGGTACAGACTCTGCATGGTCGACAATAACAATGTCAGTAGATTTATGGTAAAAAGAAATCTGAAGAATTAAATAAGTAAATAGAAAAGAGTAAACCTTCACAGCATCAACTAGGGCAGATGGTAGCAGCTGGTCCAACCCTAGATTCCCAATGATCTCCTCATCCTTGGGAAGCCACATCACTCGAGCAACTGCTAAGGCAGCAGAAGGGTCAAAGACTATGGAATCCCCGAAATAAAGAACTGACTTGTCAGCCCTTAAGAAGACAGGTCTCTAGGGTTCTCAAGACTCAGCCTGAACGTAAGCCTGGACTTCCTCCTCCGGGTCAGTCTCTCCAGCTTTCTTTCCCTTACTTTTAGGGATGGTCTTGCTTCTGCTGCTGGAGGAAGGATTTGATCTTGCCTTTTTGAGAGGGGGTTCATCCACCTCCTTCTCGTGCTCAGTTGATCTAATGACCAACAAAGGTTGTTCCTCAACAGCTTTCTTCTTCAGAGCTTCAGCTCTCAGTTTTTCCTCCTCAGTCAAGGGGAAGCTATCGAAAGATGGAAGTGCCAAGTCCATGAGATCTGCAGCTGAAGCACTAGTAGCAATTTCCTGAAGGTTGGATGAGGTGAGTAGCTCCTCAACTGAAGGGGGTCACTCCAAACTTATGTTTCGAGAAAGGAAAGCCTCTTCTTAGCTACGGAGGAAGGAAAGGTTGCTGAAAGAAGACTAAGAAATTCATAAGTATGGCAAAATAATAAAACTTGACATGGAAAACAACCAGAGCATTTTTCATGAAATGAGGGAAGGTACTCTATACCTAACTTCCCAAATTTGTGAGGAATGGGAAAGGAATTTGATTTATCCACAAACCAGTTTCCCTTCATGACTATCATCTTCTCCTCCACTTCTTCTCAGAGGAAGGGAGGTCCATGCATATCCTCTGCTAAAGAGGAGAAGTGAGATAAAAGCAGCCAGGCTTAATCCCATGCCTGGCGATGGTGTAGGTAGTGAGTAAATCCACAAGAGTCAAGTCAAGACTTTATAGCCTTCAGCGAACTAGAAGTGCTGAAACCACTCGAAGGAAGTTAGGGTTCACTTGGAGAGGGACAATCCCTAACTTATTAAAAACTAGATGATAGAAGGGATGGAGAGGGAAACGAAGAGTGTTGAGATACCCAACCGATAGAAGCAATTCATTGTCTCCTACGCCTTCACCGAAACTAAAATCAGCCCCTTCTGGGTATTCGACAATGTCAACTCAGTCAAGAATCTCATAATCTTTTACTATAGACTCGATCGAGAACTGGATGCGTTGAATGGACAAAATCAACTCTCTCTCTCCCTTAGTAAACGTACAATCGGACCCCGAAGTGGATGCTTCAGCTTGTGAAGGGGAGACATCCATCTGAAAAACTGAATCGTTCATGATTTCGACGAGGTCAGAAAACCTAGAGGGAGGGATCTTAAAGAGATTGGGAAAAGAAGAAAGGGTGGAATCTGAATCTACCAGTTCTATACGATCGTGAGTGGATGAGGAGCTCATGATGCGAAAGAAATTAGACAAATGAATGAGGAACTAACCTGAGATCACACTGAAGCAAAGAGCAAAGTGAACGTCACAGGGTCAGAAATGAACTATGAAGAGGTCTTTTTGTCAGAATGGCAATAGGCACACCTCGAACCATCTTTTGAAGAGTTGGCAACCGTGTAACTTTAATTCCCTTTTAATTAGGA